GTGAGTAAAGGTTGTTAGGTCTCCCTTAGTTTTAAAGAGACTCAAGGATGACATAGCGGTAGAACACTCACCTCTCACCTATAGGGTCTCAGGTTTGATTCCTGGACTCGGCATCACATGTGAGTAGAGTTGGGTCTCCCTTGATTCAAGGGTTTTTCTCATGCCTTTCTGCTTTTCCTCCCTCCTCAAAACCTAAGGTATGATGAGTACAACTGCTTCTCTTGGTTTGATATTGCTATGGGATGTCGATGGAGGCCTTACGCAGATAGACAAGTACCTCTACTCATCTGAAGACTACATCAAGGTATGAGCACAATATTTGTTGGGGTTCCGGTGTCTTAAACCACAGGAAGCCCAATCATCACCTTCTCTGTCTTTTGATTTCAGGCTGGTGCATTATTAGCTTGCGGCATTGTAAACTCAGGTGTTCGTAATGAGTGTGACCCCGCAAGAGCTCTTCTGTCAGACTATGTTTTACATAACAGCAATATCATGAGACTTGGATCTGTCGTTGGGTAAGTACTCAACATAACAACCAGTTAGTCTCAGGTCATAATGACCAGCACTACTGCAACAAAGATTTTTTCCCCCTGAATACCCCATAATGCCTTGCAATCCAAGATAGCCACCCTGTTGCTGAAGTAGTCCATTAAACCCTGAGGCCACCTCTGAAGTTTTGGTCCAATTCCTTGACTCAGTGATCCATGTTTCAGAGTTTGATACTATTTAAAAGACTTTAAAGGTTATTGCTTTTATCATCTATCTTGGTGATATTGCGCACATTGTTAAATTGCAATTCCAAAAGTCTAGATAGAAATATACACAAATAAAGGATACTTGCATTGTGTATATTGCAAAACAAATAATTCCATGCGAAAAAAGCTCTGACTTACTTTTATGCCTCTCTCTCCTAGTCTTGGCCTTTCTTATGCTGGATCCAATAGAGAAGACATCCTTTCTCTTATCCTCCCAGTACTGAGTGATTCTAAATCAACTACAGAGGTTTGTATATCACATATTACCCTTTACATAACTACTAGTACATACCATACAGAATAATTAGAGGGTAGATAAAGAGGCAAAATAATATACTTAATAAATTATAGGCATTATAGTGTAAATAATAAATATACTCTAGTTTAAGGGTGGTTAAGGGAAGTACACTTGCTTCTCACTTCTAGGGTGTAGGGTCCTATTCCTTAGTAGATTTTTAGGCATCTCTTACTTTATTCAAGAAATTTTCTCCAGGTTCTGCAGTTTTTCTCCCTCGAAACCTAACAAACTTAATTCCAATTCGATCTGTGAGTTAACCATGGCCACACTTTGTTATTGTCCAGAGGTTATTTCAGTTTATGGATAAAATTTGAAGGTTGTTTTTAAATAATATTAATACTACATACTGTAGAGGTACATGTATGCTATAATTCATAATGGTTATAATTAATGTTATCTAGGTTATTGGTATGGCTGCCGTGGCCTGTGGTATGGTTGCCATAGGAACCTGTAATGTAGAAGTGACGTCATCCATCCTTCAAGCCATGATGGAACAATCAGAGACACAAGTTAAAGACAACTTCACACGGTTCCTTGCTTTGGGTCTAGGCCTGACTTTCCTCGGTGAGGACCTTTGAATTTTTTTAAATTGGATATGAGTGTAAATTTATGACATTATACTGAGATGTTATACAAATAAAGACTTTATCCCTACATTAATTCATCTATTCTATTCATTCCTCTATCTATCATTGCATCCATTCATACTTCTGTTTATCAACCCATCTCATCCATTCACCTAATTTATTTTCCATTTAATTTTTAGGCAAACAAGAAGCTGTGGAAGCTACTCTTGAAGCTTTGAAAGTACTTCCACAACCACTCGGAAAATGGGCTTCAATATTAGTAGAAATATGTGCATATGCAGGTTAGAAACTATGCTAGAAATAAAACAAATATTTAAAAATCCCAGTTATGAGTCCCACCCACTTCACCCACCCCCCCCCCCCCCCCCCCCCCCCCCCCCAACTTTGTTTTAAGCACACCCCTAATATCTTGTGTTCATCCATGGTTCCACTCCCATAGTTGCCATTGCCCCACAAGCTCAACAAATTAGCTAAATACCCTTGAATATGAACCATAAGCCTATCAAAAAGCTCATACGAATAAGTATATAAGCTGTGAATTTTATGGTAGTCTTGCAGGTAAAAGATAAAAGGTTAAGGTTATTTATTTTGATTCAACCATGTGGGACTATATGATTTGTTATATGCCTTATTTTTATACATGGATAGAAAAAGTATAGACCCCTTGGATGTGACATCAAAGCAGCTCAATCTGATGGACAAAACAAAAGAATTCCAATCTCCAGAGAATTGGAACCTATTGTTTTGTCCTCAAGATTGAGCTGCATTCCAACATACTACAAGGGGTCTATATTATGTGGATCAAGTGTGTATATACATGGATAGAATGTGTATGTGGGTGGATCGAAAAGACCTGGATTGCAATGACTGTGGATTGAAAAGAGTGGTTACGGATTACTGTATATAGCTAGTTATTTGTGAGCTGGTTTTACTTGTTTAAAGCTTAAATTTTTGTTTGATTTTCAAGGAACTGGAAATGTCCTAAAAATCCAGAAGCTACTTCACATATGCAGTGAACACTTTGATCACAAAGAAGGTGAAGAAAAGGAGAAATCCAAAGACAGCAAGGACAAGGATAAAGACAAGAAGGAAGAGGAGAAAGAAGAAGATGGCAGTCACCAGGGTATTGCTGTGCTCGGCATTGCACTGATTGCCATGGCAGAAGAGATTGGTTCTCAGATGGCATTGAGAGCTTTTAACCACTTGGTGAGCAGGACTGCCCATTACTTGGGGGGGGGGGGGTATTTAATTTTAAACACATTATGACATACCCCCCTTGTCCACACCTTTTTTTACTGTTTCTTTTGGTACTGACCTCCCTTTGTCCATTGTGAAAATCCCTGAAGCTTCTCACTATTGAACTTGATATCAAACAGAGACTGTGTAGTGGGTACTGAATGCTACACAATACGGACATTTAGAACGGCTATTTAAAAACATTTATAGAGAGCATTTTATGATGATTTTACTAAGACAATTGATATATTTATATTTAACAAATCTCCCATGGTTTTGTGTCTTAGCGTGGTATGTCCTCTTATTTACCACAATATGACATCAACAGCTGGTCAAATTCTTATGTACTCATGAGGGGTAGCCTAGTCCACATGCATCCAGTCTTTTCTTTGTCTGACTTATGAGGAAGCTAGTGTAGCCGTGCATAATCTTAAATTCTAATAATATTGTATTTATCTTTTTTCCCACTTAGTTGCAATATGGTGAGCCAGTGATTAGAAGAGCTGTACCCCTTGCTCTTGCGATGCTATCTGCATCCAACCCCCAGCTACCCATTGTAGATACGCTAAGTAAACTGTCTCATGACAGTGATGCCGAGGTAGCTCACAATGCTATCTTCTCTATGGGAATAGTTGGTGCAGGTAAGAAGCTGACATTGGATCATGTATTGCTGCAGCATTGATAGGGACATAGCGAGGTCTCGATTATAGGGGGCACAATGTACCATTTTCCTGCAAAACCCACAGAAATCCTGCATGAATTAATTAAATTTTGGTGCCAAAAGCAAACTTTAGAGGGGGGAATACACTAACCCTCCCCCGTGCCCCCTCCCTACACTAGTGGTGCATGGAGTGACAAGTCTAATTTGAATCTATGGGAGTCACCACTAAGTTGACATTTTATTATTATTTTAATACAGGTACAAATAATGCTCGCTTGGCTGGAATGCTGCGCCAACTTGCAATGTACTATCATAAGGATGCTAATAACTTATTTATGGTTCGACTTGCTCAGGTATAAATACAAAGATTTTGTTTTTCAAAGTTTTTCTTTATTCATCCATCTATACATCCATGCTTCCCTCCATCCCTCCATACATCCATTCCATCCATCCATTCCATCCATCCACCCACCCATCCATCCATCCACCATCCATCAATCCATCCACCATCTTTACACCCACCCATCCATCCATTCTTTCATTAATTTCTTTATGTTTTCACTTTTAGGGTCTGGTACATATGGGTAAAGGCACACTCACAGTTGGTCCATACCATAGTGATAGGAATCTTCTAATGCCAGTAGCTGTTGGAGGGCTTTTGACTACGCTGACAGCATTCCTTGATGTCAAAAATGGTACAATATCCTACCCCACCCCTTTATTTATTGTTTGCTAAATGAAATCACTGGAAATTGGGTAGAAATTTCAGTCACCTCTGGAGTTACGTGGTTCACAGAAGCATCATAAACACTGTAATATTATTAGACTTGTTTCTTGACTTTTTTAAGAGCTTAAAAAATCTAGCCTGTTTACTGGAAGTTAATGAAGTAACTCCACCCCATCCCCCAGTGGCAGAAAATGTAACCTATGGTTTTTATTCTACAGTAATACTTGGAAAGTCACACTACACTTTGTTCCATCTCGTCTCGGCTATTCAACCTAGAATGTTGGTAACGTTTGACTCCGAGCTCCAGCCATTACCCGTAACAGTCCGCGTAGGACAGGTGAGTACTGGGGCCAAATGACGTCATTTGGGGTCTATCAAAGGATCTTTCTCTATGATCTTTCACTAATACTGGGAATCCAAGAATGGGCATGCGATATTGACTTGTCTCTCCATCAGTATCTCCCCTCATGAATTTATACTAATGAATCGTTTTTAAAAGCAAGAAAAAGCAAAACCTTTTCCATGATACAGGGGCTGGAAATGGGTTGAATTGACTTATGTATTCTAGTGTTGGGATTGGTAATGTGTCTTAGAACGTGGACTCGGGATGTGACGTTATTTGCGACAATGACGTTCTCACCGTGTCTCCGGTACCTTCAGCCCATTCTCAGGAACTTAGGGATATACCCCTGGGTTCCCGAGGATACCTTCAACCATAAACCGTCTCTCTGCGACATCGTCTGCAACTTGTGGAATAAAGCAGAAGTGGACTAAAGGAATTACGATAGACTCCCCATCGCAAGTAACGTCGTATTGTATTCTCGCTCCTTTAGTTTGGATTTGATTGTGATTGTTTCAGGCCGTGGATACTGTCGGACAAGCAGGAAAACCCAAATCTATTACTGGCTTCCAAACTCACACTACACCTGTCCTTCTCGCAAACGGTGAAAGGGCGGAACTCGCAACTGAAGAATGTATCCTTTACCTAACGTTAACATTTGATGGAGAAACTCCTCTATATTAGCCTTCTATCTCGTTCTTTTCACTACTCGCTTTCCTCTCTTTTCGTTCTCATACCTTTTCTTCCATTCTTTCCCTCTGTCATTCTCATCCATCTCTTTCTCTTGCACTCTCCTCATGTCCCATCGCTACTTTAGAAACGAGCGGTAGCCCGAGTCGAGTTTAGACACGCAAAGGCGCTTGGGATTGCTACAGGGGAACGAGCTACAATCTTCAACGCTTTTGACGAGTTTAAATCATTGTCAGTGAGAGTTATTTCAATATTTGTATCTGCCATGTATATATATTTTTTCGCACTCCGCCATGTTTTTTTGCATGCAAGTATCCCCTGTAACAATCCCAATCGCCTTTGCGTGTCTGAACTCAACCCAGGCTGTCGCTCGTTTCAAAGGTGGCGAATTGGCTGAGCGAGAAGTTCTCTGCCAGAGACTGGAAAAACAAAAAAAAGGAAAAACAAATTGTAACCTACGGTGTTTTTTTCTCTTTACGTTTATCCTGTTTTTCCTTAATTACTTGTTCAGATATTTCACTGGCGCCAGTCATGGAAGGATTCGTTATACTCAACAAAAACCCAGATTACGAGAAAGAAGCTCTAGGTTGAAGACTGAACAGCATTAGATAAATCTCGATACAAAAACCAATATCCCTTATATCACGCAACTTTAAACCGGAGTGCAAATTTTGAGTGAGAAATAAATACTCGGACTACGCACTCCGTGCTGTGCTTTTCCATTTAAGGTAGCCTGTAATCCATTGGTTTTGAGTCACCCTTAAAAATTTTTGGTTTGATCTGAGAGTTAGTTCCCTAGCAGTCTTTCTCGTAGACAATTTTTGGCTGAGAAAATCTCCAACAAAGGAGACTCTGTTACAGGAAGTGAGTTAGCTGTGCCTGATTCAGCTAGCCCTGACTTAGATTAGCTCAGAGCGGTTGTTTCAGGGTTCGATCTGTGCGTTAGCCATCCCATTCAGTAGATCATCCCAGAGATTTTTTCAGGTTTGTGAGTTAGCCGTGCACAAGATCAGCCCAGAGGTTGTTGCAGGGCTCGATCTTTGAGTTAGCCATGCCCTGACTTAGACCACCTCATAGGTTGTGAGGTTATATATCAATATCGAATCCGAGGGGTTCCAAACACCAAGAAACTGAAAACTGATGACAACATGACTCCAAAATCCTGATTCCAGATTACCTTGAAGAACTAAAAGCCATCTCTTTATGGATTATTTTTGGTCACTAGGAAAGCATTGCTCCAGTGTCTGAATAACAGGATCTTGCACAGGCTTACCAGACTTATGCTGGGTTTCCTGTGTTATCGTTGGTCTCCTTTGGCGGCGTAAGTTCGTTATGTGATTTCCAGCTTCACAAGATATAGTTTCGGTTGATGTTTTCGCAATAAAAAGATGTAAAATAAACTTTGTTTCATATTCAATTGATGAAATATGACTCGAAAAGAGGTTTTGCACCATCGCGTGCCAGCGCCTATAATTCATCTTGGGCTGGCTGTGGTTAGATGGCAAAACAATAAAATTCCTTTGCTCTCGGAATTCTTTCTCATGTAAATCGATTGCATTGTTCCTGCCATCTAACATGGCTGTCGTCACGTGATGGTGTAAAAAGTATTCGAATTATTAATAGCGAAAAAAATAACGAATATGCGCCTGTACACCAAGAGACCAACGATAGCACAGGAAACCCAGCATGTTCCTGGGCCTTGAAGCCTGTGCCGTCTCAAAAGAAAGCTTCATAACAAGTTGCTCTTCTTGTAGGGTACTAACTCCAGTATTTGCTCAACGTATCGTGATGGCTAGTGATATCAAAGGGTGTAAGGAATTTCTCATACTGTTAATGTAATAGTGTTTCTTTAAAAAATTAAAATAAACAAGAATAAGAAAAATGTCTTTGTTCGAGTACATTGAGAAAAACAGCCCCCCTGCCGTGTTGGCTTGTTTTGCGCTGTATAATTTTATTTTTGAATTATACTTCAGTGACAATTTCTGTTTTTGTACGATTATGATTCCAAAACCAAAAAAATTGAAGATTATTATGATTTTTTTTCCCTTCGGTATTATTTAATTAACGTAAAGAAAGAGGTACACCCACTCGATGCCGGATGTAAACTGCTGCTTCGTGAATTTATATTAATGGATCCGACAAGCTGAACTAATTCATTTGCTTTTGAATTCAATTCATGGTTCTGAAACCCTTTAGTTACCGTTGCTATGTTACAGTTTACAGTTTATTTCATAAAATTTAATACAATATATAAAAAATAGCACATAAAAAAAAAAACAAATAGCACAGCTTCTAGTCTCCCTCGCATCCGTTTTTAGTGTCGGTCGTCACGCAACGCTCCCTCCCCAAGTGAGCGTTGCGTGACGACCGACACTAAAAACGGATGCGTGGGAGACTACACAGCTTCCTATAGGCTTATAACAAATTATTTAGAATATTTCAGAATTTAAAGCTCTGATCGCGGAAAAATAATTATAAATCGTTTCAATAGTTTACTGTCCTGCGAAAAGAATAGAAAATTGCTCCGTAATCCTTGTAGTGCTCTTTAAAACAGAGTTGTTTGTGGGACAAGATTTTAATTCCACTGATTTGATTGGCCGTAAATTATGACTTTTCGTTTGGTTGGGCATCCTGTGTATCACAACGGTTCATTGCGTCCGATCGGTGCTATTATGTAGAACATACCCCTAGTGCCAAGGATTAAGATTCCCTCGATCCGTCGTAACTTACGTGACCGCTATTTACAGCTCTGTAAATATCGTTCACGGAAAGTTTACTAAAGGCTAGAAAATGGGCTCTGGAAATACAAAACGACAGCGTAAACTGGAACAAGTTGATCAAAGCGAAGAAGTTCATGCAAAAGCTGAAGGGAAACCCCACAAGGACGAAGAAGATATTAAATATTCGATTAAGAATCCTAAGAAACAAGAAACAAAGACGGCTATATTGCAAGATGGCCCAGAAAAAACGAAAGGCCGAAGGTCAAGACAATCTGCTGAAAATACCATATTAATAGCACCCACGAAAAAAGAGAATAACGAAAGCCATGTCGCTGTTTTGAACGAAAAACCGGTCTCTAAAACATTGGAAAATACGAAGTCAACGTTGTTAGCAAGGGGTTATACAGATGAGATCCTCATTGAGCACTGCGATAAATCACCACGCTTAACAACTACCTTCATTTCGGTCTATGACTCGCTAAAAAAACTGAAAAAGGGACTAGGCAAAGAGAATTACTACTCGAGCTGTCATCCTGCTGCCCGTAATATTTCGGATTCCTACTCACGGCAAAAGCAAGTACCTGCCTCGAAGAACGCACTAGGGAACTTTTTAGCTGACAGTGGCTTTGCAGATGTTGTAAAGGACATCATTCTTAAACTGGAGGCTGATTTTCCAAATGTTTTATCTTATGATAGAGAATTGGATATGACATTGAATGGGAAGGAATTAATTTCTGATAATGCGCAACCGGTAAGTTAAGAAAATAAATTACAATTCGTATTTTTTATTACTTATTGTTTTGGTCGATTATTTGTTTAGCTAGCTTGTTGTCATTGGCATCCAAGCTAAGGTCTCACATAGTTTTCTAAACATACACAATTCCAATCAAGTCGCTCACGATCATCCCTGGATATTAATGCCAGCATGCACTGAGTACAATTTGCAAAAAAATGGCTTTTTTGCTGTGAATTTTTAAAATAATTTCCACGGTTGAAAAACCTTAACAGCCTCCATTCCCCCCC